ACTTGGAGGTGTTACAGTTGGCCTAAGTGCACCAGAGATGGGTTCCTGGGAGGGACACCTGTGGCAGTTCAGAAGGTACCCATGGTATCAAAACAAGCCATGACGCAAAGAAGACATAGACGCGGAAATTTATTGCACTCCAGGTTGTCCTGCTCACCAGTGTTCATGGGATTCCCTCTCAGTAGTTTCCTCTTCTCCTGAAGCTGCTCTGGATTTCTTAGTTTACAATTAATTACGTAATTGTGTGAGAACCCTTCCATCATTGGCTTACCTTGTGACTTAATAGTTAATTTTTTATTGTTTTAATACCTCTTCTACAAAGCTGAATTGCAGATTTCATGAGCATATGGCTGGGTCTTGTTCTTATCCATTCCTCACAGCTCTAGGATTGGAATCCCAGCTCTGTGACCGTGGGTGAATTCCCTCACCTCTTTCTCAGTTTTTTTGACTACAAAACAAGGCAGCCCAGCAGTGTGGCTCACTTGGTTAAATGTCATTTGATGCATCAATAGGCTGCTTGTTCGATTCCTGGTCAGGGCACATGCCCAGATTGCAGGCTTGATCCCCAGTAGGAGATATGCACGAGGCAGCAGACCGATGTTTCTCATGGACGTTTCTAAATCTCTCTCCCTCTCCCTTCCTTTCTCTAAAATTAATTTTAAAAAAAAAACATTTTTAAAAGGCAATCATGATCGCCTTGCAGGGCATTATAGAAACCAGCTAGTGCAGTGATGGGCCCCAGGAGGTGCTTGGTAGAATGAGAACTTTGACTCACTAGACAGAGCCTGCACACAGAAGCTGAGCAATTGAATATGACAAAGCAGGATTAAACCTATGGTGGGAGAAGAGCCAGTTATGGACCAACTCTTGAAGTTGCATGGTGAGGGCACCATTTCCCCTGATCTTGGGCTTGGAGGACAGCGTATAGCCCTGTTTTTACTCATGACTCTTTCATGACCATCTGACGATCACTTCAAGCTCATCATGCTCCTAAGTCCAAAAGCATTGGTGATTTGATTTGGGATGTGGAGACTGTGCTCATAGGCATCCTCATCCAACTGACACATTGAAGCATCAGCTCTTCCCAGAGTGGAGAAGCTTTTTCTAGCTCCTTACAGCCATTAGGCAGGTGGTGACTCCCAGGACCAGTCCAGTGATCCCTGTGGGTGTCTCTGACTTATTTAAGAATTGCCTTTAAAAGCAACCATAGTGGGGGTTGGTGGTGGGGCCTACTGAGACCAAGAGCATCAAAATAAAAGAGAGATGGTGATAAGAATGATAGTATGAGGAGGTCTGTATAGAAAACATAAATAACATTGCGTTTTCCCCACTTCCAGTATAGTGAGCACATCTGCCAAAATTAAAAATATGCATTATCCACGCAGCCTCTGGCAGATTGCCTAGGAGCAGAGCAGAGATGCTTACTTACGGAGGGTCACCCCTGCCTTGATTCTGCCATTCCTCTCTGTGGTGGAGCTATGTCACAACGAGGAACTGGCCGTGTGACATTCTTGTTGCTGTCTTTGGTTACTTATAAATACACATTCTTTGTCTTGCATCCCTTTTAAAGTTTCCTAAGAGAAATGGCAATAAGACAGTATTACATTTGTTGAATCTATTATGATGTCAGCTTAGTAGACCACAAAACTGTAGGTTAGATGAGCTCCTTTTTAATACTAATTCTAGGGGACTGGACAAATAAGGACTGTTGCCTGTGCTGCATGCATTGGTTAGAGTTGGTATGTTGGTTTGCTCGATGCCTTGCCCCAAACATAATTTGAGACAACACTTACCAAGCAGGGTTGTCAGCTTCTGTAGTTGTATGTTACAGGCACACTTAGACTTATGACATTCTCAATAATATGCAAGTTTTCTCAGGCATTTATCATGTTAGAGAGACCCTAGTTAGATGCAGAGTTACAAAGAGAAATTAAACAATCCATGATCTGAAGGAGCTTGTTGTCTTATGGTAGAAATAGACCCAATCCGCCGAAACCGGTTTGGCTCAGTGGATAGAGCATTGGCCTGCGAACTGAAGGGTCCCAGGTTCAATTCCGGTCAAGGGCATGTACATTGGTTGCGGGCACATCCCCAGTCGGGAGTAGGCAGGAGGCAGCTGGTTGATGTTTCCCTCTCATCGACGTTTCTAACTCTCTATCCTTCTCAATTCCTCTCTGTGTAAAATCAATAAAAAAATATATTAAAAAAGAAAGAAAGAAATAGACCCAATCCTATCTAATACAGAGGAAATATGCTAAATCATCATCACTCCGTCACAAAGATGGCTGCACCCACAGCTGAGGCCAAGTTCTGATAAGGAGCCTTAAGGAGCAATCAGCAGAGACCTGAGGCTACACCCTCCCCCTACCTGGCAGAGCTTGACAGGGACCTCAGGCCACACCCTCAAACCAGCAGCGCTTGATGGGGGACCTCAAGGTGTGCTTCCCTTCCTGGTGCTTGGCTAGGGGACCTCAGGCTGCTCTCCCCGCCCCAGCACCAGGCCAGGGGACCTCAGACTGCGCCCTCCACTAGGTGGGGCTTGACAGGGACCCTCAGGCTGCACCTCCTGCCCCAGTACTGGGCCAGGGGACCTGAGGCTTCACCCCCCTGCCTGGCTGAGCTTGACGAGGGACCCACAGGCCATCCTCCCCACCTGGTGGGGCTTGATGGAGGACCTCAAGACACACACCCTGCCCCAGTCTGGGCTGGGAGACCTCAGGCCATGCCCCCTATCCAGGCACCAGGCCAGGGCACCTGATGCTGTGCCCCATGCCTAGCAGGGCTTGACAAGGGTGGGACTGGCCAGGTCTGGATCTAGCCCATTGGGGGGATAGTGGTGGCGGCCAGGTCTGGGTTTCTAGTGATTTTGAGGTGCATGTGGGAAGGCAGGGACTTGACTCTGGGTCCCATGGTGAGCCCCAGACTCTGACAGGAGGAAGGTTTTCATATACATTTTACTAATTTTCTTTTATCTCTAAAAAATCTATTATAGAGAAAGGGCAAATAGCAATATTAAATTATTTCCTCTAATTAATTCCCTTTTAATGTGCACAAATTTCATGTACCGGGTCACTAGTTAAGTATAACAGAACTGAGATGGCAATGATTTTTCTTGTAAAAATATCATGTGGTGCTAACAGGCGTGGTTTTTGTTGTATTTCTTTTTTAACCAAATATCTCAGGACTCATTATCTGACAGAGAGTTTTTTTTACTTAGAATTTTATTTAAAGTCCTTTAAAATTCTTAATAATTAAAATCCCATCTAAGAAATTTCCCTTACGGGAAAGAATGCAGCGAAATAAAACCAGTGCTGGCCTGGAGGATCCACATTGCCTCACTCTGGCTGTGGGGCTGTGAGGGTGTGTCATTCCTTCTGTCTAGGAGGTTTGAAGAGGGCTCCCAGAGGAGCTGATGTCCGAGTTGGATCGTGAACAGCAGATATAAGTCCTCGTACGAGTTTTGGCTGTGTGCTGTGGTGAATTTAATACATGTGGAAGTTGGCCACAAAGCTTGCCAGTTCCTCTTGCTCTACGCCTTTTCCCTAGCAGGTATTTCACTTGTACAATGGCTTCTTTTACATTACACTGATTTGTGCATCTCAACTTGTAGACTGCTGCCCCTCCCAGTGGGGTCAGCAGTGCTTGCAAGAACCTCAAGGATGCCTGGCTTTGCATAGAGGGTAAGGAAGCCTGCCCCACATACCAGCAAGTTTAATCTGCTTCCATCCGGAGAAAGAAAACAATTGGCCTAGGGCAATGTATTTCTAATTATCTAAGTTATTTTCTGTGTCTGTGCATAAATAGCACATTTTCAATCTGTGTGAAACATAATGGATGCGCAGCACATGACAGCAGGCTTAGCCCCCGGTTTACCAGGAAAGACAGCTGCATGGCAAAGCTGCTGCTGATCATTAGGGAAGGACTGGCCCCTGCCCTGTGCCACTCAGCAGCTTCAGCCTTTCCAGCGACAGCCAGTTTGTTTCGTTCCATAACCCCCATTCTTTGTGGGCTGGGAGTCCATTTCCTGCGGAGAAAGAAATCCAAACACTGCTTTGGATTGTCATCATCTCCAGTACCCTTGTAAGATCGGGTATGACGTGATGACTGGAAAGTCCCAACTAGAAGCCGTGATGAATGAGCAAACCGGGAGTCGCTTTTCATGTCTCCCATTACTTGAAAGACTATTTTGAAACCCTACAGGCTTTCCGTTTTGAACAGGGCCACCCTATGGGTTGTGAGGTCCACAAGCAAACTGGAATGCTGTCTTTTGGCTCCGGTCAGCTGCAACTAGTGTGTCAGGGAGTTCCTGGTGTAGCTGATAGATTAAATAGAGAAGGTAGACCAGACAGAGATCAGGATGGCAGGACACACACAGGCTTTATTGGAGGGAAGGGTACCCCTGCCGGCTGCTTCCACGGAGAGGGGCGGAAGAGAGCGAGAGCTGGGTGTACAAGCACCTTTAAGGATAGAGGGCGGGGCTTAGGGCACTCAGCACACACTGATTGGTGATTAGAGACCTAGGGACTTAGGAATGGGGGCTTAGGGTATTTGGCAGGTGCTGATTGGTGGTTCAGAGCTCAGGAATATCTGGCCACAGGTGGGGTTTATGTCTGTCCATCAACTGGAAGAAGGGAGGATCTATCAGTAGCAGGGCCCTCCACAGGGCCGACTGGGAGGGACCTGAACAGGAGTCCCATTGTCACCGTGCATCGCCAGGGTGTTTGATTAGTGCAAACACGTCTGGTGCAGCCACTTGACCCTGGTGATCCCCAGTGCTGTGTGCCCCTGATGCAACCGAGCCGCCGCCTGCCCGAGGCAGGCCGCTCATTATCAGACGCGGAATCACTGCTGACCCGGGACAGATTAGCTGCTCCGTTTGCAGTCTTTGTTCGGGGACATTAGCCCCGTCTGGTTATCTGGCTTCAGTTGAGGGGTTCGGGACAATAGCGGTGCTGATGGTAACTTGAACTTCATGGCCCTTTCCCCTGTCTGTGCTGCAGGTCACGGCCAGGGGCTTCGGGCCGCTGCTGCAGTTCGCCTACACCGCCAAGCTGCTGCTCAGCCGGGAGAACATCCGCGAGGTCATCCGCTGCGCCGAGTTCCTGCGCATGCACAACCTGGAGGACTCCTGCTTCAGCTTCCTGCAGACGCAGCTGCTGAACAGCGAGGATGGCCTGTTCGTGCGCCGCAAGGACGGCGCGGCCTGCCCGCGCGCCCACGAGGACCAGGAGAACTCCGCGGGAGAGGAGGAGGAGGTGGAGGAGGAGGAGGAAGAGGTGGAGACCATGGAGTCGGATACGGCCAAGATGGCCTGCCCCAGGGACCAGGCGCGTCCACACCCGGGCAGCTTCGAGGCCATGGCCGCCGCCGCCGCCCCGGGAGCACCGAAGGAAGAGGCTCTGCTGGTGCCCGAGCCCGACGGGCCCGCGGACACCAAGGAGAGCTCCGACAAGGACGCCTTGACGCAGTACCCGCGATACAAGAAGTACCAGCTCGCATGCACCAAGAACGTCTGCAACGCGACATCCCACAGTCCCTCAGGGTTTGCAAGCACATGCAGCGAGGAGAGTTCCGGCCACAGCCTCAAGCCCGGGCTCGCCGCCGCCGCCGCCGCCGCCGCCGCGGGGCAGATCAAGAGCGAGCCTCCCAGCGAGGAGAACGAGGAAGAGAGCATCACGCTCTGCCTGTCCTCCGGGGACGAGCCTGAGGTCAAGGACCGAGGAGCCGGGGACGTGGAGATGGACCGCAAGCAGCCCAGCCCCGCGCCCGCGCCCCCCTCGGGCGCCGCCTGCCTGGAGAGGTCCAGGACCCTGGTGGCCTCTCCCTCCTGCCTGAGGTCTCTGTTCGGCGCAACAAAAAGTGCCGCCGAGCTGTCCGGCCTGCCCGGCACGTCTCAGCAGCACTTTGCCAGGAGTTCCGCGTGCCCTTTCGACAAGGGCATCACTCAGGGTGACCTTAAAACTGACTACGCCCCCTTCGCGGGGGGCTACGGACAGGCCCACATGGGCCAGAAGGATGCGTCCGGCCTCCCGCTGGGGTCGCCCCTCAAGGGCCCCGGGGTGGAGGCGCTCTGTAAGCAGGAAGGAGAGCTGGACCGGAGAAGTGTCATCTTCTCCTCGAGCGCTTGTGACCCAGTGAGCAGCACTTCGGTGCATTCGTATTCCGGGGTAAGCAGTCTGGACAAAGACCTCTCCGAGCCGCCGGTGCCAAAGGGTCTGTGGGTGGGGGCCGGCCAGTCCCTCCCCAGCTCGCAGGCCTACCCCCACGGGGGGCTGATGGCCGACCACTTGCCAGGAAGGATGCGGCCCAACACTAGCTGCCCCGTGCCAATCAAGGTCTGCCCGCGCTCGCCCCCCTTGGAGACCAGGACCAGGACTTCCAGCTCGTGCTCCTCCTACTCCTACGCGGAGGACGGGAGCGGGGGCTCGCCCTGCAGCCTCCCGCTCTGCGAGTTCTCCTCCTCACCCTGTTCCCAGGGAGCCAGATTCCTTGCCACAGAACATCAGGAGCCAGGCCTGATGGGAGATGGAATGTACAACCAAGCCCGACCCCAAATTAAATGTGAGCAGTCTTACGGAACCAACTCCAGTGACGAATCCGGATCGTTCTCGGAAGCAGACAGTGAGTCGTGTCCTGTGCAGGACAGGGGCCAGGAGGTAGGGAACCCGCCTCACTTCAAGCATGCCCCCCCCCCCCCCTGCTCTCAGTCCTTTACCTGGACTCTCCCTGCCCCCCCCACCACCACCACCATCACTCACAGGGTGTTCTTATTTGCCAAGATTAAAGGTTACAGTTAAAGGGTCTTGCCTTCCCTTTTCACGGATGGTTCAAACTGGTTCCAAATTAATCACTTTTGTCCTAGAAAGCGCTTGGAATTTATCTAGGCTTGCTAGTCAACTAGCAGGTGCAAACTGCTTATGGAAACAAAGTGTGAAAGCATGCCGGGGCCCTTCAGACCTCCCTTGCTCCTTTCCCCTCTGCTCTGAAAGGATGCTGCACCCATCACATTTGTCCTTGCTCCTCACCCCTTCAGTGTGAAGGGAAATACAGAAACACTTTAAAAAAAAAAAAAAACAATTAAAACTAGATAGACCCACACTAAACAAGTGCTTTTCTAGCTCCCTTTACATTTTCCTTATCAACAGAAGGCCCTGGGGCCGTCCCGTGTCCATAACGCTGCGGAGGGACAGCTCGCCATCCCTTCTGGGCTCAGGGTCCTTGCAGAAGCGCTGTAATCAGTCATACGTAACTTAAGAACACACCACTCCCCAGGCTCCCCACCAATGGTGAGACGTTATTTTGGGGAGCCGTGGTGGAGGTTGAGTGCCAGTTTCTGTCCACTCTGAACGCAAAGCACTTTGTAGGTAAAAGTTGCCAGGCCCCATCCATGTCTCACCAATGCTGGGAGAGGGAGCAGGCGCAGCAGCAGCCACATCGTCCACGAGACTCACGTGGCTCAGAAGACAAAGAACAGACACCCCGTGCGTTTCCCCTCCCCCCATGACCTCAGGGGCCCCTGGGAAGATAGGAGGGAGTCTGTGCCACAATCTGGCACTGCCTAACCGGTTGATAAGGAAGCAGCCTGAGACTGCCACCTGTGTCTCAGACCTGCCTCCGGAGCTAGAGTGAGCGAGTCCAGGGAGAAGTCCCTCTTCAGAGCTGCTCATTCAGAAAACACAGAAGGAGGCAGAGCGCGGCCCTCAGGAGGCCTGCGCTCCCTGGATGCCAGCCTCTCGTCGGCTGCTAACCCAACTGAGGCAGCGGGAATGCCACGCGGGTGAGGTGGCTTTTCACAGAGCCACGTGCTGTCTCTGCAAGCTTGGCGAGAAGTACCCGAGGCTGTAGTTCGGGCATGTTCTGAAAATAGATTCCAAAGCCCTCGGAGCCAACCGCAGAAATAACCTGGGGTCACTGCCTTGTTTTACTGGATAGCCCTCTGTTTATTTTGCCCAGGGGGGGGGGGGGAAGGGGGAAATGGAGAAAGACAGGCTTTAATTGAGTTAAGGGAAAATTGAACGGGAACTATTTCTACTCACTATATCCTATCCCCTAAGGTTTGGCTGGGGGCTTGCACCAAGCCAGAGGCATGTCTGTCTGTGTCTCTAGCCTGAGAGGATGGAAGTCTTGCGGGAAGGGCCAGAGGTGGTGCTCTCTCCCCTCACTCACTCCTCTCCCTCCCGTCACTTCTGTGAGGTTGTCGTCTTTCCCCGTGAAGCGTTCCGTAAGCGCCCCCAATGCAGAGGCCTTGTCACTGGGTCTGGTTTGTCCACAGAGTGGTTTAATCTCACCAAAAAGCAATAAGCCTCCAAATTTTGGGGGTTTTGTCCCTCCCTCAGAAGGAGCCCTGCCATTAGGCTACACGGGCTGTGTTTTTATGACATTTGCACATGCTCAACAAATTGTCAGTTTCAGATAAAGCTCCGGGATTTCTCTATCTCAAAAGAGAGCTGAGAGCCACTTCTTGGAACGAAATGCCACCAACAAGAGCCCGTGGTTTTCCTTGTGTTTGGGCCGTATCTTATGTCTGCCTTAGAGCTTTTCAGTCCTCCACAAATCAGTTTAAAGGAGGATTCATTCAACCTATAAAAATAGCCGTGAGCCGAAACCGGTTTGGCTCAGTGGATAGATAGAACATCGGACTGTGGACTAAAAGGTCCCGGGTTCGATTCCGGTCAAGGGCATGTACCTTGGTTGCGGGCACATCCCCAGTAGGGAGTGTGTAAGAGGCAGCTGATCGATGATTCTCTCTCATCGATGATTCTAACTATCTATCCCTCTCTGTAAAAAATCAATTTTAAAAACAATTTTTAAATAGTCATGAACAGGACTAGTCTCCCCTTGAAAAATACCACTGCTTTAAGAAATACTTCATGTTTACTTATTTTTAATTGGGGTTTTTGCATATCTAAACAGTGGAAGAAGTGACACTTATCAAAGTTCGGTGCCATTTCAGAAATCATACTTCGCCCCTCTTGGTGTAGTACATTTAGGACAGGACCGGTACAGGAAAGCTAAGGTTCTTCCCAGTTTCACATGTTAGTTTTCCTAGAGTAGAGGAGATTAGGTTTTCCAAGAACTGGTTCAGGAACGCATCATCATGCTCCTCTTTGAGTTCATAACTTGCTTACGGGAGTTCCTTTGACCCTGGTGGGAGTGTGGTGCCCTGTCATGACTCTGAAGGTAAATCCTTTACAACGTGAGTCATACCTCGTTTCCCTGCACTGATCCAGAAGAATTCAACGTGCACTGGGCTGATTCTGCCCCAGTCTGCTCTTGTGTAAAGTGTAGGTAACTTCTCTTCCAAGTAACTTCTCTCTTCCAAGGAGAGATCAGAGTCAGAAGCCAGAAAGAGTTCTCACCTCAGCCAGGTGCCTGCCCGTCCAGCGCTGCAGCTCAGCTCTGTGAGGAGCAAAAGAGGTGTTAGCCTACTTTAACATGTTCTAGTTCTGCCCTAGTTCTGCCCTGTTAACTCTCTCATCTCACCAGTGTTGACCTCTCTCATCCTTTCTAATGATTCCCTAGCTCTAAATAAAGCTTAAGTTAGCACAATACTGTCCTTTATCAACAATCAGCTTTTTAAACTTGCTTTCTTTAAAAAATAAATAAATAAATAAATAAATAATCAAACAGCATGCCCAGTTCCTGACACATCAAATTCCCTGTGCCTCCAACAACATACAAACACATATTCACGTCTCTAGAGGCTTGAGTTTTACTCTCATGGCATTTACAGTATAATTACTCGGTGACTTGCTTTTCCACCCAGCTGTCTCCTGCGTACATGCCTCTAGGTCCGTCACATGGGGCTTCTTTAGCATCCATCAGTCCCATAAATCACAATTTATTCACCCATCATCTCTAAACAGCCATCCCAGTGGCTTCCAATTTCCCCCCTCTTATAAACGCTGCAGTAAATGTTTTTGTGAATATATTTAGGAGTGGTGCTTTTATTTTTATGGGTTAGAGTTCCTGAAGTGGTTTACAGGTTATGCTCATTCATTAAATGCTGCCTAATCCTCTCCCCAAAGGCTGTAGCAATTCCCATGTCCTTTAGCAACTTCCTCCTGTTCTTGCCAGTAGGAGTGAACTGTCCTTTCAATTCTTGCCAAACAAAAAAGGATGACTGCTAATGAGATTGGCGTCTTTGTCCATTTTTCTTTCGTGTTGTCTTTAAATTAATGTATAGAATCCTTAACATAGGAATATTTTCCCTTTCTGATAAATGTTTTCTATATTTTTTCCAATGTTTTTTTAACTTATGGTGTCTTCTATATAAAAAAAATTTAAGTTTTATGTAGTTGTTATCTTTTCTTTATGACTTCTGGGTTTGCTATTTACATGAAAAGTCAGTTTGGAAAATTTTTTTTCTTCCAATGATGAAAAAATGAATTGGCCATATGAAGTACAAAAGTAACACTTTGCATAACAAAGTCTTAGTTTGACTGAAAATGGGAGACAAAGTTGGGGAGAAGAAGTATAGGGGAAAGTTTCATTTCTATGTATTTCTATAATGTTTTAATTTTATTATGTATATCTCATACAGGTTCATTTTTAAATTGAGATGTAATTCACATACCATGAAATCCACGCTGTTAAAGTGAACAAGTCAAGGGTTTTGAGTGATTCACAAAATATTATGACTGTCACCGGGACATTTTTATCACCCCTGAAAGAAACATACCCATTGGTGCCCTCCCTTAACTCAGGAAACCACTACTCTGCTTTCTACCCCATAGATATGCCTAAGCTGGACATTTTATATCAATGAAATCTTACACTTTGTGGCCTTTTGGTCTGGCTTCTTTCACTGAACATAATGTTTTTAAGGTTTATTCTTGCCACTGATATGCCAATGTCATGTATCAGTTGCTTCATTTCTTTTTGTTGCTGAATAATATTCCATTGTGTGCATGTACCACACTTTGGCGATCCCTTCCTCAGTTTGGTGACATTGGGTTGTTTACGCTTTTGGGCTATTGTCAATAATGCTGCTGTGAGCACCTGTATGCAAGTTTTTGTAGATGTGTTTTCAGTTCTCTTCGTTACATATCTGGGAGGGAAATTGCTGAATCACATGATCACTCTATTCAACCTTTCCAGGAATTATCAGAGTGTTTTCTTTTTTTTCTTTTTTTTCTTTTGTCTTTTTTTTTTTGTGTGTGTGTGTGTGTGTGTGTGTTTATTTTTTTTAATCAATCTTTATTGTTCATATTATTACGAAGGTTCCTCATTTCTTCCCCCCTCCACCAGGTCCCCACCCCACCCTCCGCCCCCTTCCCCTCCCCCATTGTCCTCATCCATAGATGCACAGTTTATGTTCAGTCTATCAGAGTGTTTTCTAAGGCAACCACATCATTTTACATACCCACCAGCTGTGTATGAGGGATCCAGTGGCTCCACATCTGTGCCAACATTCCTTATTGTCCATCTTTTTTAGGATAGCCATTCCAGTGGATCTGAAGTGGTCCAGTCTTGTTTTGGTTTACAAGTTCATTTTTAATATTTTAAAGTTATGGAAAAGTCACAAATATTTTCTAGGTAGGAAGCTTCTTAGTTACACAGTTTTGTACCACAAGCATTTCTAATCCATTGTGAACTTTAGTCAGAAAATACTGGAAAGATGGGGAAAAGTACTGATTAGTTGCGTTTGCTTTAT